CGGGACCCGGGCGGGGTCGTCGGGGTCCGGGCGGCGAGCCCGCCTCGCGCGGGAGGGAGGTGTCGTTTGCCCGGGGTGACCTTGCGGGCGGCCCCCCGCTCTGAGGGGCAGGTGCCGGGGGGCGGGGCGGCCCCAGGTTCGGTCCATCACCTGCCCAGCGAGGGCCCCAGGTGCAGTGGTCTTGAGCGCGTCCCCCGAACTCCCAGCCCTGTAGCTCAGACCCGGCCCCGGTGAGGCGCAGGCCGTGCGGTGAGCTCACCTACGGCTTCGGGTGTCTTGATACCAGGACCCGCTTCTGTCAATTAGTGTAATTAGTCTTTCCATTGATGCCCAAAGTGACGTCATTAATATTTTCCCAAGCTTTTCGGCTTTTTTCCCTTTAAAACACCGAGTTGGAGAAGAGCCCGTTGTCCTCTAAGGCGGTGCAGCCCATCACGCAGACTTTTCTCGCAGAAAATCACTGACTTCTTGTGTTCCTAGTTGTTTGTGTATCCCCGCGACCCGCTCGGTGTCTGGCATTCAGTAGACACTCATTATTTTTTTCTCTTTTAAAATTTATTTTATTGGAGTCGAGTTGATTTACATTGTTGTGTTCATTTCTGCTGTACAGCGAAGTGACTCAGTTGTACACATATACATCCTTTTTCGTATTCTTTTCCATTATGGTTTAGCCCAGGTTATTGAATATAGTTCCCTGTGCTCTACAGGAGGACCTTGTTGTTTATTCATCCTGTATATAATAGTTTGCATCTGCTAACCCCGAACTCCAACTCCTTCCCTCCGCCACCGCCCACCTCCTGACACTCATTATTGAATGATTGACTGAATTAAAGGTGAAAGGAAGGAAAGCTTGGAAGGGATTTACCTGTGCCTGCTTTACTTTGCATTTATGGATTTTGCTCACTTTGCACTTACTTTTATTTTTGCCTTTTTAATTTTTTCATTATTTCTACTATCGCCTTTCTTGGAAAGATGAGTGGCGGATATAATTACAGTGAGCCTAATAATGTGAGTTTTTCTTATTTAACGCCCAAATTTCTTTGTTTTAAAATTATTATTATTATTATTTTTTAACTTTTTTTTTTTTTTTTTTTTTTGGTT